AAAAAAAAAAGAGAGAAAGAAATGACAGACTTATGCCATTTCAGTCCTGCCCTGGATATGGCATTAATGCAGGAGGAAATAGCCATCCAAGTAGCATCACAACATCCTCAAAATGTTAAGGACTCAGCTCCGCAACCAGCCACATCCCTATTTTTTTGAGGAGAAATGTTATCTATTTATAAATTGTTTTTTAAAACTGAGCACAATTAACTCACAGGTCATAAACTATAAGACTCAAAATGTCAATAGTGTGGCGATTTAGAGTGAACTCCACCAACATGATTATTTCAAATGTCTAAAGCCACACCCTGATGCCAGCAACACAAGCAACTTCTGTCTGTACTCCCAACAAGGATGTGCAAATTATAAAACTGAACCTTGAGAATCTGATCTAACCTGGTCTTGCCACCAACATGAACCACAGATGGGGACGCCACCCCAAATGCACATAACAGCAGAGGGGTGAGGATGACAAACCCCATTGGGCCACTCATTCCGTGTAAGAGGGGAAAGTCTATCATCTATGAGTCTTTAGAATATCTTCAACTGCAAAACTTGACTCTTGTGAGAATCAAATAAGAGAACTTGTTTTAGGCCAAGCAGGATACAGCAGGTGCTTAAATAAATTCTCTCCTCAACTTTCTTGGACGCTCTTGGGGCACCCTCTGTGCTGACTTCTCCTAAGACTTGGGATATTAGCCTTGTTCTTTGACCAGACTACACATCCCAGGGAACAGAGAAGTGCCTAGAAACCCCGTACTCACCAACAGGGGAGATCCAGGAGTCACCCAAAGCAACCCCAGCAAAGTTGCACTGGATGGTCCCTTGCTGAATGGCCTGAAAGAAGAAAAGCCCAAACAGTCCTTGCTGTGGGGGCCCAGGACCACCATCTCGTCCTCAATAGGAGGGAGGCCATTTCTCTACACTGCCTTTCCTGAGCACAAAAACTTCCAGTTGCCCTGGCAAGATTCTCATAGCATTCCAAAGACTGCGGAGACCCACTAGAGAGCAAGAGTCTTTCATGCCACCATTTGCAAAATGAGTAGAAACTTTGTACTGTTTTCACAAAGGTATTGCAAGAATGTGGGCAGGGGCTAGGGGAGGCTTGGTCGAGTCCCCCCGTCTCTAGGAAGAACACTGCCACTGGGCTCTGTCACTTCTCACAGGGGGCTGGTTGGATATGATCATCACTGCCAAGCAGAAATGACAGAGCGCTGGGAGGCCTCTAGCTGCAGAAGACCCTTGAGAGTGGGATGGATGCCTTAGGATAAGAAACGTATGCCTCGCTGCTCCTCTAATTCACTTTAAATAATTCATCTGGGGCCTCCCTGGTGGCGCAGAGATTAAAGACCACTCTATCAAGCTATTGGCAGCCACTGCAACACAAGTTCGATCCCCTGCCAGGAAGCTGACCCACATTGCAGAGCAGACCTTTCCTGTCTCGCCCACTGCTCCCCTCACCAGTGTATTTCAGTCATTTTGCCTGTTCTGCTTCCCATTCATCTCCAGTGAGTTCTCTGAACCCCCACTCCCCCATCCACCTCTTGTATGCATGAGTAAATAAATTTTGTTTAAAAAAAAATATATATATATA